AAAGGCAATATGATGAAGCAAAGATTATCTTTTCAACAAATGATGTTGGAACAATTGGACATCCACATACAAAAAAAAAAAGAAAAAAGGAATCTAGACTCTGACCGTACACCCTTCACTAAAATTAACTCAAAATGGATCATAGACCGAAATGTAAAATGCATAGTTCTAAAACTCATAGAAGATAACACAAGAGAAACCCTAAATGACCTTGGGCATGGCAATGACTATTTAGAAGCAATACAAGATATAATCCATAAAAGGGGTGCCTCCTGGCTCAGTGGGTTAAGCATCTGACTCTTAGTTTTGGCTCAAGTCATGATCTCACGGTTCTTGAGTTCAAGCCCCCCATCAGGCTCTGCGCTGACAGTGTGGAGCCTGCTTGGGATTCTCTCTCCCTCTCTCTGCCCTTCCTCTGCTCACACTGTCACCGTCTCTCTCAAAATAAAAAAGATAAATTTTTTTAAAAAACTTAAAAAGAAAAGAAAAATAATAATCTTTAGGAGAAATAATAAGCTGGACTTCATTAAAATTAAAAATTTCTGCTCTGTGAAAAACAATGTCAAGAGAGTAAGCTAAATCACAGACTGGGAGAAAATATTTGCAAAAGGCACATTTGATAAAGAAGTATTATCAATAGTATACAAAGAACTCTTAAAACTCAATAAGAAAATGAACCCAATTAAAAATGGGCGAAAGACCTTAACAGACATCTCACCAAAGATATACAGATGGCAAATAAACATATGAAAAGATGGTTAACATCATGTCATAATGACATTGCAAATTAAAACAAGATATAACCATATACCTATTAGAATGGCAAAAATCCAAACCACTGACAACACCAAGTACTGACAGGGGTGTGAGACAATAGGAGATCACATTCATTACTGGTAGGACAGCAAAATGATACAACTATTTTGGTGGACAGTTACCAAGTTTCTTAAAAACCTAAACATACTCTTACCATACAATCCAGCAACTGCACTGGTTGGTATTTACCCAAGCGAACTGAAAACCTATGTCCATACAAAAATCTACACACAGGGGCACCTAGGTGGCTTAGTCGTTAAGCCTCTGACTCCGGCTCAGGTCATGATCTCGCGGTTTGTGGGTTTGAGCCCCGCGTTGGGCTCTGAGCTAACAGCTGGAGCCTGGAGGCTGCTTCAGATTCTGTATCTCCTCTCTCTGACCCTTCCTTGCTTGCACTCCGTCTCTCAAAAATAAATACACATTTTAAAAAATCTAGGGGCGCCTGGGTGGCGCAGTCGGTTAAGCGTCCGACTTCAGCCAGGTCACGATCTCGCGGTCCGTGAGTTGGAGCCCCGCGTCAGGCTCTGGGCTGATGGCTCGGAGCCTGGAGCCTGTTTCCGATTCTGTGTCTCCCTCTCTCTCTGCCCCTCCCCCGTTCATGCTCTGTCTCTCTCTGTCCCAAAAATAAATAAAAACGTTGAAAAAAAAAATTTTTAAAAATCTACACACAGATGTCTGTAGCAGCTTTATTCATAACTGCCAAAACTTGGAAGCAACCAAAATGTCTGTCAGCAGGAGAGTGGATAAACTATGGTACATTGAGACAATGGATTATTCAGTGCACCCACCTCCAAAAAAAACCCCCCAAAACAAGCTATATGAAGGCATGGAAAGAAGCCATGGAGGAAACTAAAGGCAAATTGCTAAGTGAAAGAAGCCAATCTGAAAAGGCTACACACTGAATACTTCCAATCATATGACCTTCTCAAAAAGGCAAAACAATGGAGACAAAAAGATTAGTAGTAGCCAGAGGTTGGATGGGGGTGATGAACAGAGCACAGATTTTTGGGGGCAGTAAAACTATTTTTGTATGATACTACAGTGGTGAATATATGTCATTATTCATTTGTCAAAACATACAAATGTACAACACTGAGTAAACCTGAATGTAAACAATGGACTTTGAGTGATAATGTGTCAATGTAAGTTCATTGATTAAAACAAATGTACCACTCTGGTGAGGGATGTTGATAGTGGAAAAGGCTGTACAAATATGGGAGCAATGACTATACGGGAACTCTACTTTATACTTAATTTTCTTGTGAACCTAAAACTGCTCCAACAAATAAAGTCTATTAAAAAGTTAAAAAAAAAAAAAAAAGGATAAGACTGGTAAAATCCAAAGTCTGTAGTCTAATTTAGCATTTTCTGGAGGTAATAAAATTTGTATCTCTATATAAAAAAATGCTTTGGGATGATTTGTCCCTTAAAATATGACAGACCTATTTTCTAGGGGGCTCAGTATACAGTGCTTAAAGTTTCAGACACAGATGAGAATATCCTGAATGAGGGAATGTCTTGTACAATTAAAATTACCTTCTTAGAAGAGTAAAGTATAAAAGTAGTACATGCACTCTGATGAAACATGAAATGAAACGGGAAATAGGATCCAAGAGATAATACAGACCACTAGGCTCAACACTCTTGTACCCACTCAATGGCACAGCTTTTATTTTGAATCATAACAAATAAATTTTTTAAGCTTTTTTTTTTCAATTCTACAGATATATAAAGTCATTAAGTTAAACATTTCTAGAGGTTACTAAAAATCTCTAAATTATGTCTAAAGCAGAACAATGTAATATATATAAACCTTTGTTACCTTTTTAAATTCATAATATTTTCTTCAAAAGTAGAATTTTTAAAAGATGTAATCATTTCAGTGAGTATAGCTCCATCACAGTTCATGAGAGTATATTTATTTATTATGCTAATATTTAAACAAATTCATTTGTATCAAACACAAACAAAAAATACCCATACAATATCATGAGACAGTTTCAATATTCATGAAGAATATAGGATTTGAAATAAAGTCTCCCTTACAAAGATCAGTGCATCTAGACTGTTTAACCTACAAAATCATCATCTTAGACTGTCAAAAAAACCAAAACAAAACAAAAATGACATTTTAAAAAGGAAAATGATAGTTTCAAAGGCAAAGTGTCTCTTCCACTCATTTCAAAAACAGAACTTTTCTAAAATCTAACTAGAAAGGTTAAAAACCTAGAAAAAACACTGCACCTTAACTGAACAAACTTGAAATAACATTTTATCTCTAGACCTAAAATGAAACCATGCAGATTTTTAAAAATTACAACTATTCTACCTCCTTGTCTTCCTAATGTCTTTCCTAATATATATTTAACAAAAATGATAATGCTTTCAAAATACAGAACATATAAAGCAAGACCATTATTATCAGGAATTTAAAGGAAGAGAAAAAAAATCTAAGTTATAACCCTACAGAGAAGCACAGCAAACTGAAGTAAAGAATGATCATGATGTTCTCAAAGCCGAAATGTTGTGACTTTCATTTAAACTTTAAAAGAGCAGGCTGCTGGGGTACCTGGCTGGATCATTTGGAAGAGCATGCAAGTCTCGATCTTGGGGTCGTGAGTTTGAGATGAATGTTGGGTATAGAGATTACTAGAAAAAAATAAATAAAAACTTAAAAAAAATAAATAAAATAAAACAGTAGGCTACCTAATTAATCCAGACAGTAAAGAAAGCAGGATAGGGCAAGAAGTAAGAGCTGGACAAAAGAGGGGCACCTGGGTGGCTGCTGGTTGAGCATCCTATTCTTGATTTAGGTTAACATTATGATTTCAGGGTTCATGAGATCGAGATCCACATGGGACTCTGGGCTGACAGTATGGAGTCTGCTTGGGATTCTCTTTCTCTCCCTCTGTCTCTGCCCCTTCACTGCTCATCATACCTATACTAGCTTTCTCTCTCTCAAAATAAACACTGGGGGGGAAAAAAACCCCTACCATGTGACAAGCTATTTTCTAAAAAAAAAAAAAAAAAGAGCTGGACAAAAGAGACTACACCGCTAAGAAGATAATCTACCTTGTGTCTCTTTTGACTTCTTACCACATGTAAAGGTAAAGAAAAACTACTTATTCCCAGTACAGGGTCAGTAAAAAATAAAATGGAAAAACATCCCTTGCTAGGTTCCACTAACGTTTTACCTATGAAAATGGGAAGAAATTTAGGGAAAACTATACTTTCACCTCAAATAAGTTAAAGACAGTTATATTTTAAACCAATATTTTAACTATAGGACTAATATCCCATTCTAAAAAGAATGGTCTGAGAAGACAGAAAGTAGGTAGCTACTAAGCTCCATATAAATTGAACCTTTATACTCATTTATCTTTTAATTACAGAAACATTTTAAGTTATCATTTCCTCTTTAATCCTCTAAAATCCCATGCAAAAAGATGAATGAAGCCTCACCCATACCACAGATTTAGAAATAAAAGCAGAAAAAGATTAAATGACTTATAAGCTAGGCTTTGCCTTTACAAAATGGGAACAAAGTCTGACCTGCTCCTTTGTTAATGTGTTAGAGGCCCATTAATAAATATCAATGACGTGATTAAATACTAAGGTGGTGTTATCTTCCACATAAATTAAAAGGAAGGGAACACATGTGATCAAAAGTATTTAAAACTTCATAATCCTTTTTTAGGGATTCTTTAAATTCCACTTTTTACCTTTAAAGGTACACTGATTTACACAGGATACCTTACCATTTACTATGTAACATTAAAGTTCCCAGTTAAGAAACTGGTCACCAGTGAAATAAGAAGCACCAGGAAAAGAAAAAAAAAAAAAAAAAAAAAAAAAAAAAAAAAAAAAAGCCAACCTGCTGAAGGAAAGGTAGAAGGAGGCTGGATCCTTTATGATGTAATTTAGCCAGCACTTACTCTGGAAACATCTACCTTCAGACTTTCTGTCGTGAGAGATAATTAAATGTCTTTATTTTTGTAAAGCAAAAAAGAAAAGAAACTGCTCGTAAGCTTTTATATAGAATTCATCAAAACAATTATTTTTTTCTTGAAACAAAAATGGTAAAAAACCTGGGTTTTCTAGAGACTTGTATGAATATGGAACGACGAAGATACACAAAGCTGAAGTATCTGGAATCATTTGGCTGCCTGTAGTCTTCAGCAAAATCACAAAGTGCTCAAAAATTCTTTGACCTGAAGGGAGGAAATAAATATTAGTATAATTCCTTGACAAATTTGAAATATCTAACATTCATCCCTATTTTTTTTTTTAATTTTTTTTTTCAACGTTTATTTATTTTTGGGACAGAGAGAGACAGAGCATCAATGGGGGAGGAGCAGAGAGAGAGGGAGACACAGAATCGGAAACAGGCTCCAGGCTGTGAGCCATCAGCCCAGAGCCTGACGTGGGGCTCGAACTCACGGACCTCGAGATCGTGACCTGGCTGAATTCGGATGCTTAACCGACTGCGCCACCCAGGCGCCCCTCATCCCTATTTTATAGTACATAACAGTTGAAGACCCCAACTGTATAAGTAACTCTATCACAAAGATACAGCATCTATTTTCAAAGAAATATTACTAAATACTTCAGTAGTAAAAGATAAATGACTTAAAATGTCATTACAGGAGTTATTTATATCTAAGATTAATATAATTCTTTAACAGCCATAACACAAATTTCATAATCTCCTTATAATAACATAGACCAATGACGTGCAGCTTTAGCACCAAAAACTATTAGTAATCGTGATGGTTTAAACAACTCTGAAAGGTCCAGACATGCAAATTTGTAATTTTTCTGAAGCACAAATTTGAATCATATTTACAATCTGTAATGTTAACATGTACGGAAGGGTCATGTACATTATGAATGTAACCAACTGCCCAACATCACAATGCAACAAGATTCTGTTCTCTACAAATTCTAGATGACACAGTAATTCTTCTGAAGAAACAAAGATTCTGCCTTAAACACTGTGGAAAATATAGAACTGTCGAATCAATATGTTGTAAACCTGAAACTATATATAACATACTATGTCAGTTATGTATTTCAATAAGGAAAAAGAGAAAGGCAACTACTAGCATTATTAATGAAAGTAAAAGTAAACAGTAACATTTAAAGGTGATTCTTAGTCAAAACACAAAAGTGTTAAAGAAGCTGTCCTATAGATCCACTCTGAAGGCAATGGCCGATTTAATTTTCATTTATTTTAATAGTATCATAAATGAATTGTATCCTATATTTTTAACATCATTAATGGTATAAAGAGGTCATTTGAATTTTCCAAATATGCTTTACTTTATATCATGGGAAAAGCAACTATATGCTACAGAGTAGTTAAATAATAAATGTTGACATTTTCAAAATTCTTGAGATATAGCCTTTATGAATGTCAGGTTCCTGTTAAAGTAAATATATATTTTGTGAAGGAGAAAAAAAATCAAATTTCTCTCAAAACTAAACAAAGTAGAGGCGCCTGGGTGGCTCAGTCGGTTAAGCACCCAACTTCGGCTCAGGTCATGATCTCACAGTCCGTGAGTTCAAGCCCTGCATTGGGCTCTATGCTGACAGCTCGGAGCCTGAAGCCTGCTTCAGATTCTATGTCTCCCTCTCTCTGACCCTTCCCCGTTCATGCTCTATCTCTCTCTGTCTCAAAAATAAATAACATTAAAAAATAAATAAATAAATAAATAAATAAATAAATAAATAAATAAATAAACAAAGCAAAAAACTGGCTTCTTTAGACCTTGGATCATCACCAAGTTAATTAACATGGATAATGGGATCTTTATTATATGATTCCCATTATTATTCTCTCTCAAGTGTACATCAATAGGTTTTCTCCCACTCCCTTTATCATTACAAGCAACACTCATTAATAGAATATAGTCAACTCCCAAATATGTGGAGGATAGATTAACTATGAATACGACAATGATTCAATGATCAGGCATGCCAATTTATCACTGACAAGGTCCCACATAAAAGTCAAAACTAAAAATTCTTTAATCTCAAGACTTGAGCTAATATAAAAATGGACAAAATCCATATCCTACAACTTCAAGTATCTTCCATACTGAATTTAGTTGAAAAAGATAAATTTTATTTCACAAGTAGTTTGTTATGAAAGTACCTAAAGACTGGTGATACAGAGAAGAGGCGAAGAAAAGGAAACAAAGCAGAGAAGCGGATGAGCAAGAGCTTTTGTTAATGTGATCATCCCTGTCTTAGAGATAAAGGGACCAAAGGATAAAAGAATCTCCTTATTTTAGCCAAGGTCACAAAGCTAGAATTTGACGTTAGGATTAGAGTCTAAAGTCTAAATCCATCTGAAGCTCTTAACTGTCTCTTACTGTAACGTTACATATTCTTTTCTGTTAGAAAGTTGTTTTCTCACAAGTTACAACACTTTTCTAGACAAGACAAAACAAATGTTAGTGTTAGAGTCTTTGTACAAATCTACCTTTTCAACTAGACTGTCGTGTTTGTCTTTAAAGTCTTCATTAATATCCAGTGTTAAGATGGGGATTTCTTGTAGAAAATCAAAGTCGGTTCTGTTTTTTAAAAAAAGAGAGATGAACAAAATAATTAGAAAAAACAATAAATAAAAGAGAAACACTAAAAACTCTTATACCATCTCTGGAAAATCAAAATGTTGTCAGTCATTTTATATTAAAATCATCCTGTCAGTAATTTATCTGGTAGCCCCTTCTTTTTCACCTTGATTTACTACTAAATAATAATATTAATAATATCTAAAAATCTCAGGTATAAAATATATAAAGCTAGGGCTTGTGACATGTAATTCTTCTCAAAAACTAAAATCATACCATAACGTAGGAATGTTTGCATTTTAAAGATGAGAAAACTTCCGATTCTGTGTCTCCCTCTCTCTCTGCCCCTCCCCCATTCATGCTCTGTCTCTCTCTGTCCCAAAAATAAATAAACGTTGAAAAAAATAAAAAATAAAAAATAAAAAAAATAAAAATAAAGATGAGAAAACTAAAGCCCAGGGAGGTCAGTCTGGGGCTCAGAGACTGCCTAAGGTTGCACACTAGTAAGTCTGGATTTGAACCAAGATCTGACTAAGGACAATGAAGTCCATGCTCTTAACAACTGTGCTATACTACTACCTAAGCCTTGATCTAAAAAATAAATTTAAAGTATCTTATCTTAAATTCTCTCTGAAAGACAGTACCTAAATAATACACACAGATATATTCCTACTTTACCACTTCAATTCCATATATTATTCTGTCAATAACACTGGGGGAGATTAACTACAAAAACTTTAAGGAAACAGGATCTCATTACAATAAAAAGAATCAAAATTCACACCTAATTCTGGGAGATCCTAAAATACTAACTTAAAAGAAAAAGGGCTAAAAATGAAAACTTGTACATGTTTTAGATTAAGACTTATTAAAGATCTTTGAAATGGATAGTAAGTGAGAATAAGGAGGTCTTACTTCAGGGTTCTATGCAGGAGCCAGCTCTCATGCTTATCGTGAAGCTTCTCTAAATACTCAAGAGGAATGCCTTGTTCTTCATTTCTTCCCCGTAAATACATTCTATTCAAGCATTTCTAAAAGCAAGCAATAAGAAAGGGGTTGGGGGGCAAAGAACAATTATTCTTGTCTGCTGTCATTAAAGTTTTCTTCTCTAGTGTCTCTTTAGTTATGCTAGCCAGCATCTCCATTTATTCCTTCTAGAAAGTTGAAATACTTCATTTTTCCCCTCCTTGTGCTTTTCAATCATTTGGTGGCTATAAACCAAGTAGTACGATTAGAACAAGTCTATAAACTTATGGGATCCATACTTGAAAAATACTGTATAAAATAAGTTTGGTAAAAAGTTCAATATATAAAATGTGTTCAAAATCTATTATAAATCCTCTTTTCAAGTACTTAGATGATCTTCCAATCAAAAGACAGTATAAATAACACTGATGAAAACAGCTTTGTGTTAGACTTTAAGACATTGACTATATCTTATAGTATTCTTTATGTTCTTCAACATTTGCGCTTGCTGTATTCGTAACTAAAAACAAAAAAAATTATTTTCAAAAATAAAAGTGAATTTCAAAATTACTGCTAAATTCTGGCTTTCTTGAATTTAAAAAGAACAAAATCATCACCTGGAATCAGAAACCTAGTTTCTTTGAAAATTCCGATTCAATACCCACACAGTATCCTTTCAGACTAGAAGTCATGAAATTTATATTCATCAGAGCCTACTTTGTGGCTTAGGGAAGACACAGGAAAAAAAAACAGCAAAACTGAAATGCAAGCACCAAAACCAGAAATGTGTTAATAAACGTAAGCTCTTATTTAGGTTAGCTTTATGAAGGGCATCCACTTAGTCTTCCTGGACTCATGACATAATTTCATATAAAAACAAGAATAGCTATATTACAAACTATCATGAAAGGCACATTTTCAAGTAAGCTCCCTTAAGTGAAAATGGCAATGGTCCTCTAAGTCTCTTCTCACTTGAAGCTGCTACTACCTACCCATTCCAAGCCATGAACTATAAAGGATTTCTTAAAATGGACCTCCATCAACTTTGTTAATTCATTCACAAATATTTACTGAGCTCCCACTATGTACCCAGGCCCTATTCTAGGCATTGGAAATTCAGTAGTAATTAAACACTCAAAGTTTCACACCAAGAAGCCTAAACTCTAGCAGTTACTTGAGCAAAATTTTTAATCTAGCTGTGATAGATAAGAGACCTTCCAAAAGTCAGGAAGGAATAAAGAAGAAAATGGAGAAAGCACAGCGAAAAGGGCCTAAAAGAGCAACTTGCCAATGTGGGCTTCTACTTTGCTGAGGAAAAGAGAATGCCTCTCTCTACAATTATGAATTTCTAATTTGCATGTGGGGAGTAGAGCAGGGAATGGAGCTAAACTAAATTGCCTTCACTGCATACCACTAAAAGGACTTCTACATATTACTTTAAATTGTCAATAGAGTAAACAAATTTTAAGTCTCACCTCTGGTGTGGCTCGAAGATAAATGATTCCATCCAGTTCAAGGCTTTGACCAAACTGGTGATTCATCCAGTCATGCCAGTCTTGATAAATTGTCCACTCTGTTTCATTCATGCAGTCAGATTCATACAAATTAGATGCAAAAACATACCTGAAAGAGAGTCTACATCAACACATAATTCCTTTCCAAAAAACACAAAGAAATAGAAAGGAGATCTACTAACTGGACATGGAACATTCTCCCAAAATCCATGGCAAATAATAACTTAGCAGGAAAAAAAATAGAATATCTCCAACTATAAGAAATATGTTCTTGGACAGCAGTTCTCAAAAATATAGTGTAAGAATGCCTGGTAGTCCCCAAGACCTTTCCAGAAGTTCTGTGAGAGGCCAGATTACTTTATACACTAGACTTCAACCAAAAGAACATAGTATACAGATAGAGAAGGCTTTAATGAGAATCTAGCTGTCTTTTATTAAGTTAGATATTAAAGAGATTTGTAAAAATGTAAAACAATCCTCTTCTATCTAATGTTTTTGTTTTGAAAAATACAATTTTACAAGTATCTTATTTACACTAATACGTAATGGGCTTAGTATTACTAATTTTAAATAAATAAGTGTCCTTTATATTTCTCAACATTAATTTCTAATAACATAAATATCAATAAGACACAAAGCTCTTTTGGCTCTTTAATAATTATTAAGAATAGAAAGGGACCCTGGGGTGCCTGGGTGGTTCAGTCGGTTAAGTGTCCAACTCTTGATTTTGGCTCAGGTTGTGACCTCATGGTTAGTGAATGTGAGCCCAGTGTAGCCTGCTTGAGATTCCCTCTCTCCCTCTCTCTCTGTCCCTCCCCCACTTCTCCCCTCCTGTGTGCTCACGTGTGGGCGCACTCTCCCTCTCTCAAAAATAAATAAACTTGAAAGAAAGAAAGAAAGAAAAAGAAAAAAAAAAGAAAGAAAGAGAAGGAGGGAGGGAGGGAGGGAGGGAGGGAGGGAGGAAGGAAGGAAGGAAGGAAGGAAGGAAGGAAGGAAGAAAGAAAGAAAGAAAGAAAGAAAGAAAGAAAGAAAGAAAGAAAGAAAGAAAAAGAAAGAAAGAAAGAGAATGGAAAGGGGTCCAGAGACCAAAAGTTTGAGAACCGTTGTTCTTAGCCAACACTCTAGCTTAAAAGAATCTTTGCATAAACAAGGTAACTCTAAGGCTCCCTTAGAGATTTTTGATCTGGCTCAAGATGCAGTCTAGAATATAGATCCAGATTTAATCAGAGTAGATGAGAATTTTAAGAGCATTAGAGGAAAAAAACCTTCTCTGCAAATTTGAATGAAATGGCTATCATATTCCCTAAAGCTTCCATGGAAGCTAGCAATTATTAATACTAGTACTTCCCTAATATCATGATTACCAAATTGCTGAAGGTAATTTTTCTCCTCAACACAGCCTCTCTTATTACTTTGATTACCAGGAAACAGGAAAAAAAAGTCAATTCCAAGCCACGATTCCAAAATGATAAGTGCAAGTTATTTATATATACCTGTCACTATATATAGATCGTTCAAAAAATAATACAGGTTTCTCTGCATCTTTGAGCTTGCCATTGAGACAGGCAAGCTGGGCTCGTATTCGACTGAGGCAGGCATATGACTGGAAGGTAAAAGACCATCGTTCAGGTTTCTCATACATCATTTGAAGAACATTCCCACCACTTTTCTGAGACGGTGTCAGTTCCTATTTTGAATGTGAAAAAAGAAACAAAAACCAAAATTAATGATCAATAGAGCTATTTAAGTTTTTTAAAAAGCTCAAAAAGAGAAGTTAGATAAATAAATGCATCATGATTAGCAAAACCAAGATGATTAAGTCCTCTTCCTCCTACTCTTTCCCATTTTATTTTTCAGTTTGCCTGAGGTCTAGAAGGCTAGCTTAACAATCAGTTCCTTAGAGCTCTTCCACAAGAAGTCACAAACTAATGGCCTATGGAAGAAAATATTTGTTTGGTCCAAATGGGACTTTTAAAAAATTTGAATTAGTTGTCAATATTTAAAACCTAAATATAAGTTCACATAACATATCTGGATTTGTGAATTCTTTTTAAAAATGTGAAAACCACCAACAGCATTTTTTTACAGAACTAGAACAAACAATCCTAAAATTTAAATGGAACCACAAAAGACCCTGAATAGCCAAAGCAATCAGGAGATAGAAAAACAAAGCTGTAAGTATTTGCCTGTGTTGCCTTAGCCCTCTGGCCAATTTAGTAGTCTGTAAATTTTAGCAAGCACCTTTAGCTGAGTGATCAATTAACTAAAACTTTCTTGGTATATCTATAGATCCTGTATTGTTTCCTAGAAAAACCCTGAAGGAAACTCTCTTGTACAACCTCTCTCCCCACTGCCCCAGGCATTGTGATAACATCTGTAGCTGGCACCACTGAATGTGCATGCATGCAATCAAGAAGTATTACAGATCATTGTGCTCCCCTTTTACTGATTAACTGCCCTAAAGTTCCTTTAAAAATCTTTGGGCCAGGTAGAAACCTCAGAATTGGTTTTTGGACAAGGGTCCACGGTCTCCCCAGGTGGTGGGCCGCCTGAATAAAGCTCATATTCCTTTCCAACCAAAACTCGTCTCTTGAGCATTGGCTTTTTGTGCAACAAGTATCTGAACTTGGGTTTTTCAGTAACAGTATCACAATCTCACACTTCAAGGTATACTACAAAGCTGTAGTAATCAAAACAGTATGGTAGTGGCACAAGAACAGATATACACATCAACGGAACAGAACAGAGAGCCCAGAAATGACCCCATGTTTATATGGTCAATTAATCTATGACAAAGGAGGCAAGAATATACAATGGAGAAAAGGCCATCTCTTCAATAAATCATGTTGGGAAAACTGGACAGCTACATGTAAATGAATGAAACTGGACCACTTTCTAACACCATACACAAAAATAAACTCAAAATGGATTAAAGCCCTAAATGTGAGACCAGAAACCATAAAACTACCTAAAAGAGAACACAGGCAGTAATTTCTCTGACATCAGCCACAACAACATTTTCTGAGATACATTTCCAAAGGCAAGGGAAACAAAAGCAAAAATAAACTATTGGGACTACACCAAAACAAAAAGAAAGCAAAGGAAACCATCAATGAAACAAAAAGACAACATATTGAAAGATATTTGTAATGATATTTGAAGATATTTGCAAATGATACATCCATCTGATAAGGGGTTAGTACCCAAAATATATAAAGAACTCATACAACTCAACAACAAAAAAGAATCTGATCAAAAAATAGACAAAGGACCTAAATAGACATTTTTCCAAAGAAGACATACAGATGGCCAAAAGACACATGAGAAGATGCTCAACATCACTAATCATCAGGGAAATATAAATCAAAACCACAAGCAGATATCACCTTACACCTATTGGAATGGCTAAAATAAAGAAACAATTACAAGGACGCCTGGGTGGCTCAGTTGGTTGAGCATCTGACTCTTGATTTCAGCTCAGGATTTTGGCTGAGGTCATGATCCCAGGGTCATGGGATTGGGCCCTCTGTCGGGCTCCACACTGACCATGAAGCCTGCTTAAGATTCTCTCTCTCTGGAGAAAAAAAAAAAAAAAAAAAAAAGGAAAAAAAAGACAATAACAAGTGGATGAGGATGTGGAGAAAAAGGAATCCTTGTATACTATAGATGGGAACGTAAATTGGTATCACCGCTGTGGAAAACAGCAGGGAGGTTCTTCAAAAACTTAAAAATAGAATTACCATATGACCCAGTAATTCTACTACTGGGCATTTACTAAAAGAAAACAAAAATACTGATTCAAAATGATACATGCATCCTTCTGTTTACTGCAGCATTATTTACAATAGCCAAGGTATGAAAACAACCTAAGTGTCCATGGACAGATGAATGGATAAGGAAAATGTGATGTGTGTATATATACATGTGTGTGTACACACATATAAAAAAATGTATATATATACACACACATACACACACAAATGTATATGTACAATGGAATATTACACAGCTATAAAAAAGGATGAGACTGCCATTTGTGACAACATACATGGACCTAGATGGTATTATGTTAAATGAAATAAATCAGAGAAAGATGATTTATATTTATATGATTTCACTCATATGTGGAATCAGGAAAAAAAAATTAAAAAAAAAAACCAAAAAGCAGAATCAGACCTATAAATGCAGAGAATAAAATGATGGTTGCCAGAGGAAAGGAGGACCAGGGACGGGCAAAATAGGTGAAGAGGAGTGGGAAGTACAGGTTTCCAGTTATGGAATGAGTAAGTCATGGGAATAAAAGGCACAGCAGAGGGAATATAGTCAATGATACTGTAATAGCATTGTATGGTGACAGACAGTAGTACACTTGTGGTGAGTGTGGTATAAGATATAGATTTGTTGAATCACTATCCATACAACTGAAACTAACGTAACATTAAATTTTTAATGTGGAAACCAAGCAATACTGTGCCTGTATTTTATCTCACTAAAAATCACCTAGGGCCAATCACACATGCTTCCATTAAGCGGGACATATGCTCTCCAGTTTATGAGCCACTGCCATTCTCTGTTTATCAGCCCCTGCCAATCTCACAGCAGGCCTGATTTATTTGTTTAGTTACCTGGTCCCTTTAGGTATTTTAGACCCCAATCTTCTAATAAAACAGAACAGGTCCTCCCTAAAATTTTGTGATTTAATAACCACATTGTTAGAACCAATATTTTCAGTGTTAAGAAAAAAATGTATAATAAAAAATAAAGTAAAATCTCTGTAATCTTACATTTGAATTTGAAATAGCATCCAGAACTCATGAATTATTTTCCTTCCTATAAAATATAATTTCCCTAGCTCTGTCCACCAAAAGGCCTATCAATAATGACAACCTTGTAGGAATGAATATAAATGTCACCCGGATTATGATCTCTAAATACCATTTCCCACTGAAAGGAACTAGGGTCACATTCCTTATTTATGTCTGGAGAAATAAATGTATAAGATGAGCTTAACACATCTTGTTTCAGGAAATAAGTAAACGATCAAAATCTCCTGAGGCTGTGCCAAAGGCAAGAGAGCCAACGTCAAAGGGCTTCAATTTGTCAAAAGATAGGACAACTATGAATGTCCAAAAGGAATGATGAAGGAAGGGAAGACAAAAACTGTAAATTCAAATCTAAAGAAAACCAGAAAACAAAAACCCAAACTCTCTAATCATCTTTGGAAGTTGCTAGGGTACCAATTAATTATTCTGGAAATTTGCATATAAAGAGGAAAAAATATCAAAAATTTTATTCTGGCCCTTTCTATACAAATGTTATTTAAGGTTAATGAAAGAGTAGATGAAGGAACAGGTCTTCTTTACTGAAGAATCCCAACTAACAGGCTTGATTATTAGAATATCATCTTTTGCAACTCCAAATGATATACTGGATTAGGGCAACAATTAGCAACAGATCCTAAAATCATTAGAGAAAAGCTAATATGGAATTTTATGGTGTATGAATTAGGCTAACAAAACCTGAAAAGACTGATTGATTTTACCATCACAAAAGACATCCTCCTGGTGGAATGTGAAAGAAAATACACATAGTCACCTAAGAAATTTAGCCAAAAAAAGAACTAAAACCAAATCTAATCAAGGCTCTACAGATCTAACTACAAATTCACAGGAAATACAGAGATTGAGAAACATGTTAAACTATGCCACAGAGATGCACTCAGCCAAGACCAGAAAAAGGGAAACTGTACAAGGACAAATGACCCAATTTCTTCAACTAATAAACTACAAAGAAAAAAGAGGAAGAGGAACCAACAGATTACAATTTAAAAGGCATATCAACCAAATGTAACATGTAACAAGTGTAACCTTGACTCTTGATATTAATAAACTATAAGAAAACTATGAGACAATAGAGAACTATGAACACAAACTGGATGTAATGACACAGTGGAATTACTAATCTTTTAGATGCAGTTTTTTTCAAGAAATCTTTTTATCTAGAGTTTCTTCTGAGTCTTTCATTTCTACAGATGTATATATTATCTAGAACAGAGGTTCTGAAGGTGTGGTAGGGGAATGCCTAAGAAGTCCCTGAGATCCTTGCAGGGGTCTACAAGAAAACAAAAAACAATTTTATTTTATTTGTTTATTTAAAAAAATTTGTTTAATGTTTATTCATTTATGGGGGGGGAGGGTGGGAGACACAGAATCGGAAGCAGGCTCCAGGCTCTGAGCTGTCAGCACAGAGTCCCACGCAGGGCTCGAACTCACAAACTGTGAGATCATGACCTGAACTGAAGTTGGATACTTAACCGACTGAGCCACCCAAGCGCCCTGGAAAAAAAATGATTTTAATAACAAATATACCTTATTCCATTCTCATTCTCTCATGAATGTATAATTTTCCAGTAACTATATAACATGTGATAAAATTGCAATAGTCTAAATGTAAAAGCAGATTTAAGAATTCTGGTTTGCTATTAAGTCGGGCATTAAAGACATGTACAAAATGTAAAACAATGCCACTTTTCTCACTAAATTTTTTTTTGGAAAATAGTTATGGCACATATGTTAACATGTAATGGGTTCAGTACTACGGTTTTTATTTTTTATTTTTTTTTCAGTACTATGGTTTTTAAATGAATTAACTGATAATTTTTTAAGTGTTTCAAGTTATAGTTTTAAT